ATTATAACAGCATGGTATTAATCTTGTATTAAGCCCTTCTATGGAACTCTAATAGACTCCAGTTGTTTATCAACTGAATTTCTTTGAACATTCTAACATGCTTATATATAATATTATTACTCCGGTTTCCCAACATTTGTTATCTTTTTGCATGTGCTATAACTTCTAAAATAATACTAAACATAGTGGAGTAAAGCATCTTATTTTATGTCTGTTTTTAATAGGAGTACTTCTATATTTCACCTGTATAAGATATGTTGGCTATTTATCTAAAATAAAAAGATTTTAAAAACCCATGTTATTAATAGTTTGAAGTACTCTTTGAATCAGCAACTGGTATTGAATTCTATCAAATGTCTTTTAGGAATATTATAAACATTTTTCACAATGTAACCTACAGGCATTACATATGATATACATAAGCTGAATGATCCTCCGAAAACCCTTTTTGGTTGTGGTAAATCACTGATGAATTCTATTAAATAGAATTAAGAATTTCAGGAGGGGGTGATCTGTATTTGTAAGTGGAAGAGTGAGGCTGGTCGTATTACTCATTACTCTATTTCTGTTAGGTTTTGGTAAGCTTGGGGCACATTTCCATCACAGAACAAACTCACAATTTTCCCTATTTCTCTATGTTTCATGAAAACTATATGAACTTTATCATTTGAACTTTTGAAAGTACTTGGCAATAAATACATTCCAGTAAGGAACTTTTTGGGGGAGTGGGATAGGATAACTCTTTGATAACTCTCTGAATTTCTTATACAGGTGTTGAGACATTTGCATTTCTTATTTGTACATTTTTATCATTTGCTGCTCCAAATATGCTGAAATAGAAAGGCAGAATTCTGCCTAGAAAATAGTAAACAGGTTGTGACTGAATGTCTACAGAGCTCTTCTAAGAGCTTTAGCGAATGAATTTTGCAATCTCTCTTCTGACTATTCAGATGGCATTTCTGCTTACCTTTTAGTTCTTGGCTGTATTCTAAATAGGTTAGGTTTGCCACAGAAACAACTTCATGTAATTCTACAATTCAAATTATGTTTTTGAGTTACATTAGATTCCCTAGTAATTTTTATCTCTTATTTCTGTACAGACTAATAACTCACTTTATTTACTTCAGCAATTTCTCGCTTCTCTTCACTAGCAAAACGAGGAGGGCCAGCCCGGTCATCATTCTTTGAGCCATCTTCTTCCACGTATGGAATAAGTTGCTGGAAGTGATGAAGAAAAGTTCAAAGTCAGAAATAGGATCCAAGTTTTCCAATTACACTGGTATAGAAAATGCATCAGATTAAGGTCAATTTTTACTCATTTGTTTTGAATAGTATAAAAGTAAATTTCAATTCAGGTGATGGCCTGAAACAACAGCTTTATAAATTTATCATTTCAATGCATTCTGTACATTACCCTTTCAGGTTTCTTTTGTAGAAAAGCTTTTATAACATTGGTTGTCACATATAATTAAATAATACCCTACTCATTCAATCAGCAAATACTTAATTGCCAGATATTGGATGAGAAACTGCAAAAATATTGCCAAATAAGATGTAATTCTGGTCCCTAAGGGATTTACAGTCTATTGAGATAGATAAGACAGGCTTTCCTTCACTTATACTAGAAAGAAAAAAGAAAAAGAAACTTCATGGCTGTACATTACATAAATGTCATTAACTAGCTCTCTGAAACTTCAGTGTCTGCAAATTTCTAGAGGTCTTAACTTCTTTTAGTTGTGAGAATTTCTTTTTTTTTTTTTTCAGGAGAAAAAAAATTGCATAGCCTTGAAACTTCTAGTGGAATTATAAGTAAATATGTAGTATGATTTATGATGAAGTTTATTTGATGAAGACTCTCGTGTTACCTAGTCTCTACCATTTTATATTACCAATGCAGGAACAGGAACAGGCCTTTGGTAAAACCAGGAGTCATCTGGCCAAACACCAAATTCTTGGGACGAGTATGAACTTACCCACATCTACATCTCCCTCTCTTCCTTTCCTCTCTCCTAAGGCAGAGTTGTCCTTCCTCCTGAAAATGATTAGTCTCTCTTTTTGTGCTTTGATTCCTCTGCCCTCCTGTCTTCATTATTTCTCTTCCCTTACCCCAACCTCTCCCTATAGTTTTCTTCTTTTATCATCTAAATATGGTACAGTCTCTTCCATTTGGAAGGGAAAATCTCCAAAAACCCTTGATTCCATCCCTCCTTCCATCTACTGCTTCCTTCTCTTGTTTTTTTATCTAAGGTTCTTGAAAGACTGATATCCACTTGCTGCCTCCAGCTCCTTACTCCTTGATTACTCTTCAATGCACTGCAATCTGACTTTGTATTAGAACTCAAATATACCAACAACTCTGGTCTAGCAAAATCTACTGGGCAGTTTTCATTCCTTATTTTCTTTGACTTCCCAACTGCATTTCTGATCTTTCTCCCACATCTTTGATCACTTCTTTTCAAGATATTTTGCAGTTTACTCCTTCTCTGTTCATCTCTTCTATGCTGATCACTCAAAAAGAAACCACTGATCACATGAACTTGTTCTTTACTTATAGTGAGAGAACATTTACGCTTCTCAGCTACCTTTGGTGGCAGAGATATAACTTCTCAACAGAAAAGAGCCACCTACAGAAATATCACATACTAATTAACTAAATTTATCTATGAACCAAGATTAAATTTAGAGAATACATATTTAAAATAGAGTGACTCTGCTGAGCTAAAAATCAAATCTAAATTATAATGATAAAAAAATAACCTATTATCTGTAAAGCAATTTCATGAAAACCATTTTAAAAGTATTTTACAATACTATTAAAATTCTTACTAAAAAAAATCATGTACTGATTTAATTAAAAGAAGACACTGACAGCAGTCATAAAAATTGCCACAGAAAACTCTGTCCTCCCAAAAACAACAACAAAAAAATCACTATAAGCCTGGATGTCAGAGACTACAAGAAATTATTAATGTGAAAATATGGTAGCAATTCTATGCATATATATCACATTTTCATCTTCTCTGGTCAAAAGTAAAACCGATAAAATTCAAAATCTGGAAATACAGCAAAATAGGAGAAAGGGAGAAGGGAAAAATATTACAAATGTCTTGACACCATTTCACAACTTACATTTATCCTCCCTCTATCATGAAAACTCACCTCTACTGGGATGGGATCCATTCCTCCACAGTTTTCATTGCATTTGTCATAGACCAACCTCAGCTTCCTGAAGAGAATAGAAAGTTGGCGGAGATGATCCTGTAGCTTTGTTAACCGATCTTGGTATGTTCCAGTATGGTAAGTGACACCATTTGGCAGCTTATCAGGCAAAACAAAACAATAAAAATATAAAGTAATGAAAATCAATATTTTCTATATGTGAAGATAACAAACAGAAACAAATTTTAAGCATTGCATAACATCAAACTGTTCCTCACAACACATCAAGTGCAGTTTTAAAAATTTAAGGGTAATACATACCCATCTATTAGCAACTTGGCATTCTCTTTCACTGCTGTAAATAGCCCTACAAAGGACTATGATAAGCCCTCTCTGATCAGTGGAAATACTTTTTCCCCTTTAATTTTTGAAGTGCAACTGTAAAAGGAATGAAATTTTAATATTACTTACTATTATATAAAGGCAGCATGTCGCTGAGCTCAAGCAGGAAATTAAAAACAAAATACAGTATTACAAAAAAAAAGTGAAGCTCAGGATTTTTTAGTGGAAGAAAAAGGACAGTATTCTGCTG